TGTGGGTTAGGCATGCTGGACACGAGGAATACGCGTCGTCGTCGTTGGTGTGCTGGCAGTTCAGTACTGTAACAGGGGTTGAAGTCGCTTATCGACCTGCTTTTTGGCGTATACGTGTTAACAAAACACAGAGATGGGTGAATGCCGTGAACGTACCAGCAGTCCCAACCAACAGTTCCTCCCAGATGGCCGTCAGTGTTCGTGTACGTGTACGTGTACGTGTTCGTCGTCGTCGTCGCTGTCCAGTCACGAAATAACCAACACGGTATACCGCGTCTTATTTAATGGCAGAAGCTTGCCTGACGACGGGGACGTGTTCCTACAGAAGCAAAGTTTACGTAGGCGAAAAAAGGGAGTGAAACAGCCGTTAACCGGTCAATGGATCGATCAAACAGTAATGTTTATCCCCTTCCGTATTTCAACTATCTCATTCCCTCCCTTGTGGCTCTATCCTTCCACTCTAAATCTTACTTCAACCTTCCTCTTTCCATAGTCAACAACACATCGCTTGCACTTTTTACCTCTAATCAACGTCGCTTTTTACAGAGAGGCAAGGCTGCATCCGCCCCCCTGTCCCTATCCCTAACCAAAAAAAGAGAGACAAAATACATCTATTCATCCCTGAGACATTCCCCTCCTTTCCGCACATATCTACATTCCCGCCGGTCAAGTAAACGCACCGCCTCCCTCACTCTACCGATCATTTGTTTTTCTCCTATGGTTTCGTATCACGTATACTTGAGTAACAATTTTCTGCCAGGAGGACGAGATGATATACCCCATCCCGCAATCCCATCCCCCAAGCTTCCGCATCACCCGCACCCACGCGAGCATACTTCCGCAAAAGCCGCTTCTTGCTTCCCCAGGGAAGCTCATCAGACCCTGGCAACCGTCACCGGCACCGGCAACGGGGTAGTTACCGGCTGCGTACCGGTCTTTGACTGTGACGATAAAGATTATCTATGTTGGTCAACAATATTGTTAGACTAGCGTCGTTCTTCTGTTGCATGACAATCCACATCCTTCTTCGATTGTTTCCTTTCCCACCTTCCCTTCCTTCCTTCCTTCTTTCTCCACGTCCTTCAGGCTCCGCAAAACAGAGGCATTACGAAACTTGCATACCCAGGGTTCCACCCCATGGAGTAAGGTTACGTACTGCGATAGGATAACGTTCTAACCAAGCGTTCCAACGTTCACCAACTCCCACGCTCAGATGTGGTAGGGGAGCGCCTCGACTTCGCCACAGCATCATAGCATCATCATCCCATCCCGAGCTGGCTCACCATGGAACGCGCTATCAGAGCCCAAAAGCGATCAAACCGTCTTTCTGGAAAACCGATATCACGCGTGCGTCTGATCTTGCACGCGGACGTGTACTAAGGGGAACGTGTGGCACGCGTCTTCCGAGCTTCCTTATCCATGAGACTGTCTGGAACGTCCCATTGTCCGAAGAGACGCGCGCGCGTCGACGCGTACCCCAAGACGCGTCTAGCCCTGCAGGCACCTTCCCATGGACAGGAACATTCCCGATGACGTCCCACCCCACACCGCTTGACAGCCAGGCGGCCCTGCTATCCCCTACTCGAGGTATATGCTGCCTCACATTCCCTACCCCAGAGGTGCCAGATGAGCCAGAGCGAGTGATGTGTCCCTCACCCTCACAAGCTCAGGAGCCTCTGCCCGGAGAGAGTGGAGCGTGTGAACTTGGAACAACTGCTGGATGTGGGAAATAGCAAGCTCTGGCATGCTCTGCACTTCGGGCGGTTTTTGTTGGATAAACAATATCTATTCCTCTGTGCGTATCAGGTGCTAGTCCTATGTAGTCTGAGCTCCGAATTGGGCTCAAACCGAACTCGCTTCCCACTCGCTCGCTCGATCAGTCGATCGCCCATATCGCCCATTCGGGTTCTAGTCTGCAGGCGATCTCTGACGCCTCCAGCTCCGGTGCCTTCGTAGCTGGATGGTCCGCTTCTCTGATCTGCAGAGCTTGGAAATCCGCTCGTGTTCAAGCCGAGCCTGACTGATCATGAGCTTGACCTGTCGGGGGGATATAACCCCCCCCCTCCCCTCCTCCCCACCCCAAGCAAGTCTCCTTCTGCCTGCGACATTCGAGACTCCCATCCCCTGTCCTGCAGGAACTTGGAGCTCGCGATAACCATGTTCGATTGCTGTATTGTCTACCCCTAGGGAGATACTCGATACACGGCACTGGCTGTCTCGTCCCCGCTGTTCTGCTCCTGATCCGTCTGGTCTCCTGGTCGTCAGCCACTGGAGAAATACGGGTCAGGTTGACCCTCGTCCTCGTGACAGACGGCTAAGTCGATGTCCATAACCAGGTTGACACTTTCGTTTCGGACAACCTCTTGCCCAAGCAGCTCTAGTTCCTTTAACATATGATTTCTTCTCATCTTCCCCTTCCACTTTTGCACGTCTGTCGTGGGAAAGGGACAGCCAGACTTATGCACAATATCATGCACAATATCACCTCGCGAGCTTGCCTTCGCGCGAAATTTCACTTGATCGTGTGACACTGCGTCGTGGACGCGTCAGTCTCAGACACAAGGCACCTACCACCTTCCCATCACGGGATTCCGCATGTCGTTGATACGAGGGACCGCACTGACCATAAATGGGGATGTCTATTAGTCACGAGGTCGTGGATCACAACTTGTATAGAACAGGAGATGATCTAACATATCGCCAACAGAAGAGGGTCATTGGCTTTGTAACAGGGAGCACGTTCGAAGACTGAAGCAGCTCTAGCATGGATCACTTCTACATTTAGAAAGTGTCTTGATTGATCCATATTCAGACTGCCGAATCCCAAGAAGGAGAATTTCGGTTGTCGGAGGAACTTGAAGGAGGCTCGCCGGTTATCTCCGACGGTGCTTCGCAATTGGATGATCTGCTTCTCTCGCTCTCTCGAGCTCGGAAACGTTCCGCTCTCCTCTATGATCAGAGCCTGCAAACTAGCAACACGTGGACTTGACTCCTGCGTCTGGGGGATATAAGCCCACCACGACCCTCCTCTCCCATGCAAATCACTCTTTCTTCCCTGCATTCGACAAATCACCCCCCCCACTTGCTCCTGCACGAACTTGGAGCTCGTGATATACGGCGCTGCTGCATCGGGTGCACTTTGACGGCTACTTGATACAATGCGGCTTTTGTCACTGGCATACCTCGTCTTTACAGTTCTGCTCCTGATCAGTCTGGTCATCTGACTGCCCTCAGGCTCGTCGTCCTAGTCGTCAGAACTCATCAATTTGTCGCTTCTGTCGCCCACGGTCTGCCTTCACTCGGAAAACGTGGGTCAGGCTCACCGTTTTCTTCTCCGTATTCCGGCTTTGTCGAGGTTTGTGACCATATTGAGGCTGTTGGACTTCGACCGAGAGACCATTTTCGACTGATCAAACACGTTGGCGTTTCTAGTCTTTGCCTAGGGTTGGAACACTTCTCCTTCTACCCGTTCTCTCTTCTCTCCCTGTGGGGGCTCCTCTCTTTCTCAGGCGTCATACGATGCGGAACAGAATATATTTCATTCTGGAAGCATGCGTGAATGGTCGTCGTCTGCGTAAGACCGTTATCTCCCCTGGTTGTCTCTCCCTTCCCTCGCTGCAGGCAGCTCTCGTTCGCAGACATATCCATCGCCCGACTGGAAGCGTCTAGTGATGTGGCGTGCGAGTTTCGTTTGCGTAGTATCAGTGCTTGGCGCCTCTTTCCTCATGTTTTGCTCTGCAGGCAGCCCTCTTTTCCAGACGTGCTTCCCTCCGCCTACTGGAATTTCAGTGAGCATAGGCCTGCCTTCTGGAAAACAGGGATGACTCGCCTCATCTCCCTTCATTCTCGCTCTCCCCTGTTTCCTTCCTCCATTTCTTGGTTCCTTCAATCCTCAAGTATCGTCTATGATCCTGAGCCCACTTATATGGCATTCTGTTTCGAGGTTCCGACTGCCTTTGCACTGGCAGACGGTTGATCGTGAAACAGAATGCCATCTGCGGACTCGGATCCTCTTCGCCTCCTCTGGACGCTCTGTCAATGTCTTACCTGCTTATATTTTGTCGTATCTTTTGTACTATTGAGGTTTACCAGACGGTACCGGACGGATGTCTAGGTGTGACTAGGATGTACGATTCTGCTCACGTGCGTCATCTCTTTCGTCCCCTGCCACGAGGACAGCAGATACACACTTTCATTGATTAATTTTTCTCATCTGCGTTGGGAATATACTTATTCATGTCTTCCTTTCCTCACTTTTTTAGAAATGAGAAACTAGGTTCATACTGGAGCGATTTGCCTTGCACGGATTTTACTTGATCATGTGACGTCACACGTCTCATGTCCACATCACGCGTCTAATATGCGTCGGTCTCACAAGACCGACCTTCCTGCCAACGAACATCATCTCTCAGAAGATGGGCACAATATGGGTTAGTTCATGGAATTTGTAATAGTAAGGACAGCTACAAATGTGATAGAAAAGAAAACTTGTACGTAGATACGTAGATAGTTGAGAGCATGGGGAATCTCAATGATGTTGGTGTCGAGTCGTCGATTAGGGGAAAATAGTAAAAGTAGCGTGGATTGGCCTGGGGCAGGCCAATCCGTCCCTATATACATATAGGCTACATAGATAGTCTAATGGAATCAAACTCCGGTGCCTTAAGGCTGCGCAAGGGTCCTGCACTGCCACTCTTGGCACACACTCGACATTGGAACACCAAAGTGGATCTAGGGTAGGTCGTGTATGCCCACTCTAAGATGACGAAGATGTACAGCATGGGGAGGAAATTAGTGTCAAGGAATGAGACGACTCATGGGGAGAACAAGGAAATCAGAGTCAACGAGCGAGAAGAATCAAAATCGATGATAAGAGACACAACGTGGGAAGGACGACGCAATCAGAGTCAAGGAACGAGAAGGATCAAAATAATTAAAAGGTATCACACGGGGAGGACAACAAAATTAGTAGTGTCAAAGAATAAGAACAGTCAAAATAATCAACGCGAGCCAGCTCCCCACGCGCAAAACGAAGGGATGGGATCTTCATTATATCTACGGTGCGAGGACTTCTTAAAGGCCTCCTCAAGCTCTTGCGAGAAGAGCTGCGTAGGGCTAGTCTGAACGATTCGCCGAGGTTGTGGAATAACGGATGTATCAATTCTACGTAAGCATACATGCTTGAGCTCATCGAATACGTGGCTCATGTCTCGTCGAGGGGCAATCAAAGAACGACTATCATTCTGCGTCCTCGTTTTCTCGGATGCGCGCTCAGGTAGCTTGAAACTTTGGCGAGGAGCCTGGTTGGTCCTCGCCAACTAGACGTGAAGTGTCAAAGAAAGGTACCACAGCGTACACGCGCGTGCTTACACGTGTCTTCAGCACCTCCATCTCCTGCTCCAGCTTCTCGATCACCTCGTCGATCGCCAACGAGTCTTCCTTGGAGAGCCGCCGCCGCTTCGTCGGTGGCTCCAGCGCTGTGGGTTGAGCAGGCTCTGGGACCGGCTCCGGAGTCAGAGCGCGGAAGGAGCCGGGCATCGTCGGCCACCGCCGACGACGCACTGGAGGAGGGTCAGATAACTGACAAAGAAATCCGGGTATTACGCGCGCACCTCTAGTACTCTTTGGCTTCGGCTTGGAAGCCGCTATCCTTCTCCTGTCCTCCCTAGCGGTTACAGTTGGCTCCGGATTCGCACCAAACGTGCTGGTAATCACGCCAAATAAGAAGCCAGCGTAGGATTGTGCGGTCATAATGGGCAGGCTAGTGGGGGCTGGTAGGAGGCTGCTTGGGGGGCTGGTTGTCAAATGCAGAGTTGATGTGTTGGAAGACGGGTCGAGCGCCTGAATTATAAAGCCCCAATGGCCGTCGTAGCTTCTACCTGCCGTCGTCGTCGTAGCTTTGCGCGTCGTCGTTGTCGTAGCTCGTAGGTTTTCGCGCCGGCGTAGCTTTGCGCCGGCATAACCCGCGCCACAAAGGGGACCGAAAAGTCACGCGTCAAGGGTTCTTCCGCACTGCCGCCGTGCAGCAATATTTGATTCCGTTGGTCCTGGACCCTAGGCACCTCTCGGAGCCGAAACACCTCCTTCGGCAATAGAGTTAGAACGTTTATAATGAAATATTAGTGTGTAGAAAAATAGTAATGAAGTACGTAATGAAGTTCGGAGCTGCGTGTCTACCCTGTTCACAATAATCGAACTGTCCACCTCATCGCTGTCTTCGACATGTAGCGCGGGGATATGAGCTTTCCGGTTTGCACTGGAGGGACAACAGCATTTCTGTCATCAATTCTGTGATTGGATACAGCCGTCTCCAGGTGGGCCCATACTTAACAATCCGCCTCTAGAGAGGGCCCCTCAAGTGATGATGATTGGAAGACCCTGGAATTCAGCGTTCAATGGGGGCGAATATCGGTTGCTGGAAACACTCGCCAGTTAACTCCGACGGTGCTTCGCAGTGTGATGGTCTGCTTCTTTCGCTAGCATCGGAAGTTGCAAAGTGTGAAGAACCAAAGGACGAACAAACTTGCTCACCGCTGCCTCCTAGTACTCTTCTGCATTTCCCCTCTCTCCCTCGCACCGCAGTACTCCCAGGATATGCCCAACGTGATACCCAGCAGAAGTCAGCTCCTTGTCTCTCCCCCAGCAAGCGAGGGGATGACATGACAGGGATCGTCTTCTTGCTGCGTATCCCGATTTTCCCTAGTTCCGCCCTCCTGGTCGTCGACTTTGCCCGTACTTTGTTATAAAGCTTCACTGACCACTCTGGATTCAACCTCTTCTTCGGGGCGGTGGACCCAACCTCGTACTAGCTTGACTTGAATATCATGCCGGGTCTAGATATACGCGCCTCCCTCTTTCGCCGACGTCGTCCACAAGCGTACTGGTAGGAATCTATCCTTCCCAGAAAGCTTCCCAATGCGTCGTCTGCGTAGAACGGAAGTCCAATCTTTCTCTCTCTCTTCACCGCTTCCTCAGTTTCTAGGCTCTTGTTTCGTGCTGGCTTCGTTCTTCTGCATCTTGCGATCTCTCAGCCTGGACATCGGCCACGGAAGTCCGTTCGCACTCTACCGTGTCCACAACAGCACTGCAGAGAGAGACGTCTAACTTCATGTATGCACGAGTTGCTGCCTGTTGTCCCCACTTGGTATGTCGTCCTCCAGCTTTTGAGAGCCTAAGTCCGTCAGAAGACAAACCAGAGTAATTTCCCTTGCGCCGAATAGATCGCTCTCAACGTTGCTACCTCTGCTTTCAGACATGGGTGTTCCCGTGCGGAGTTTTGCATGAACACAGTACATTGCTATTCTGTCAACCTGACTAGAAAGACCATACAAGTGTTGATGATCTTGCTACAACAGCACACTCTCGGGTGGCCCAAGGTAAGATTGCCTGACATTGCCAGTGTCTAATAATGAATAGTCAGTGTCTCTGTCAGCGACATATAGTAGCGGCGCACTGATGACGATCCGTTGTAGGATGACTGCTGGCTCAATCTGCCATATCTTGAGCGTATGCGCCCCGGGGGCGGTTGTGAAATCTTCGGAGGGTCAAAAAGGGGCAAGTATGCGATAGAAAGAGCTATCCGGCTTACTCGTTGAGGTCGAAATAATCGCATTAGCGGCAAAGCCGTCAGGCCTAAATTGAGCGAGAAGTTAACTGTGTGCTTTCGATGCGAACCAATAAGACGTACGTGTCCCACCCCGCGGGCATCGTTGAAGCCGGCGCGTACGGAATGAAATAGATCGAGACCGGCTCCGAACTGTCCCACTGAACGGCATATCCCAAGGGCCGAGTGGGATTGTTGTTCAGAGACGGAGATACGTATGTGGTGACCGTGACGTTCCCTTCCATAGTGTTGAAGATATAAACATCGTATTCCCTGTCAATCCGGTCAGATATATGCACAACATCAAGACATATACCCTCTCACAAACTCGGACCAGTTCCCGGAGTATAATTCCCGCCATTCGGTGGGAATGGAGTGACGCCTGAGAGAGTTCGGCCGTAGTTCGGGAGGACTGTCCAGGTAGTGCTGTCTACCGTGGTGTTCCGCGTCGCATGTTCGGCTTCCATGGTCACACTGCCATCTCCCTCGACAAAGGCGCTAAAGTTCGCGGGTGCGCCCGTCTGGTTGGTGACGAAGACGAAAGGTACGATCTGGGTCGCCATCGCCTCTCGTTCCAGATAGCTCGAAGAGGCCGCAGAGGTGAAGTAGATCAAAGCGAAACCTTGACCGCCGTCCGGAATTCCCGCATCTGCCCAGTTGACGCTCATATAGACTCGTTGCTCCGTCGTGGCAGGACTTGATGGGTCGATATATCCGCTGTTTGGGGAGATCGTCAGCCATGAAACATTCGTAGTCGCCGTCCAGCTGAACGGAATGGGTCCACCAGCGCCGATGTCGGCCCACCGTGTAGCCGGTCCGTACGGGTCAAGGGGCATCATGTAATCGGTTGGGCAACTGTACCCTTGCGCACACTGAGGCATACGTCAGATCCTTTGAATAATAGGTAGATAAATCACTCACGTCATACATGTTATCTCCAGGCCAAGCACCCTACGAATATGAATTCAGTTCTGGAGCTACAGAGAGGCACAGGTGTCTCTCACCATTGATCCTTCGACCATGACTCGCATCGCCCCGGCGATTGATACCTTGCGTGTCGGGACTCGATTCACTGCAGGCATGACATTCTGCATAGTCTGCTGCCAGTACACATCTGAAGAGAAATCAGGAGTTGTTCAGAGAATAAGATGTCGCGATCTCACAGCCGATATGCTGGATGAAACATGATATTGTAAGAAGAGAGATCTACGGCCGAGCGCATGCAACGTACGGTCTGGTCCATCATACTGAGCACAGATTAGCAGTGGTTCGATTGAAAACCAGAGTGAGGACGTACTGCATCCATTTCCCATCCAGCAGATGATTGTACTCGTATTCAAGTTCATAATCAGCCTCGAACAAAGATGCTACCTAGAAGCGCGCTTGTCAATGGGTACAGTAACTTGGTGGTCGACACTCACCTGATCAGCCAGATAGTTTGAGTAGAAACGGGCTTGGCTCGCGTACAGGCTATTCATACCAGCATACACATACATTTTCTAGTCAATCGTTAGCATTGGCTGGATTTCGACACCTTCGGACCATTGGCATACCTGCAGAGTATAGCTTGCCAACAGCGGGTGCTGTACAAGTTGGAAGTATGCTGCCTGCATGTTCTGGGGAATAGAATTGTAAGTTGCAGTTGATGTCTCGTTCATCGCAGCGTAAGTGGCAAGGAGGCTTCGCGCCTCCTCATAGTCGATGATTGTGTACGTTGTTGAATTGACCAGTTCTGGTTTCCGCCGAGAATTGAACTTCGTCACATTGTTGACGATGCCGATAATGTCAGCAGCGTGTTCGGGGATGGCAAACTCGCGATTTGCCCAGAGCGTAGAAAACTCATCGAGGTTGGTCTGATTCCAACGAGGGACATCGTAACCGTAATTGAGGAAGAATTCCTAGTTGAGCGTCAGAATTTCCTTGAAATATATAGCACAACAGGCCAGACAGTATTCATTTCGTACGGCTTGAGGTCTCCAACCTAGCAAGAAGTGTTAGAGTATGAGTATGTTATTGAGCAGAAAACCTCAAGTTGAACATACATTGACAATCCAGAGTCGATCCGCGCCTCGGGTATAGGCTAGATGCATTATTCGTGGTGGGACCCATAGGCACTATGTGCAAACATATAAGACATGGCCCGGACGAATCAAAGAATAACGAACGTACGATCACCAGCACCCCGCATGCCGACGGTGTACACGCCTTCGTATGGCTTAGCACGTTCGGCGCCGATTGTCCAGTATTGTGTCAGATTAGCCGCGTTGGTTGAGAAATCCCAGGCTTGTCCGGGATAGAAGAGGTTCCATTCGTCTGTACATAATATCGGCTTCAAGATGTGGTCAGAAGAAATCGTCCAGCGTACTTGGTGTGGAGCGCATGAGGGGCTCTTCATGACTACTCGTCATCACGACACCGTAGTAGTCCGCCAGGGACTGGTTCAGAGGATCGTCAACTCCGAACATACTGGTACACGTCAGTATATGAGACGGCAATCGATCTTGAACTACGAACCCGCTCCACATAGCGGGAAGCAGTGAGTTTCCCCTCAAACGCAGAATGAGCTCAAATACATGACTGGAAATATGTTAGTTCCTTATACCTCTGCCCCTTAGATGGTACGTACGTGTAGAAGTAGTGGTTGAACGGTGCGCCTGTTCCATTCGTGAATGTGTATTGAGCCCAGCTCTGAAGAGCAGGCTGTTCATCGTTGAAGACTACAGATAGGTGAGCGGTCGAAGAATAGAAATGGGAAAGGTACTTGCAGAAAGCGCGATATTTGACACTCGGACTACCATGCTCGCATGTCGCAGCATATACTTCACTATTCGTCTTGATCGGAACATCGGCCCAGCTGATGGGGCAGATAAGCGACCATCGGAGAGACGGAAGAATATGACGCACTAGTACCAGGGAGAAACACCCATCTGCTCTGAGAGCTCATACATACCAAAGATCGTGCCTCGCTTGTCAGCACCCATTATCACATAGGCCATGTCCATCCCAGGAAGGGGATTCATCATGATATGCGCAGAGTATGCTTCCCATTGTCCTTGAAGCGAGGAGACGTCCATACCCGTGTAGTTGACCATCGCGTCGATGAGTGCAGAGTGACCAAGCGTACCAACGAGGATTGCGGTCGACGGAAGGCCGGAGATCTTGGCAGCGCTGACCGTCATTGCTTGGGGTACGACGGACGTGACGTTGGAGATATCGTTGAGGAAGTCGTTGGCAGCACGGAGTACCCCCGGCCATTCATCGTCCGACGTAATGATCGGTGCTGCCTTCCCACCGCTCACGATGGAGAAGAGAGAGTCGGTGGTGTTGCCAAAGTAGACGCATTGGTATTGACCGATAGCAAGCGCAGGAAGTGGGAGTAACAAGAGCCCCAGCGTAAGGTGCCGGAGAGCGGTCAACAGTCTCATGTTGGCCAATGTAGGACTGGTCCTCATAATCAGACAAGAGAACGACTTGAGTATTTATCAAACGCACTGCTCCGGTATTAGGCCGGCCCGGGGGGAGGAACGCATTCCACATGGAGAAACGTGCGAGAGGAATCTTAGAATAGTGACGGTATGCCAAAGGAGGTGAGTGGGGCGAAGGGGAAGGTATGCACCATCCGCACATTGGTATTTCTGTAAGAGGAAAGAAGGTAGCCGCTGAACGCTCCTATTGGCCGGTATTATGATACGGTCTGCATGTGGTGAAGAAGTAACATATGTAGCTGTCCTGTTGTGCGTACTGCGACAGAGGGGATTCTTCTGAAGTGGACGATGGTGGCTTCGTTCTCCCCATGGGGTAAGGGATATATCCCACTAGAAGTTGTTCATTCTTCGGTGGTGTTTGCTGGAAATGGTACCAGGGGGAGTTCTGAACAGTTGTTTGCCAGCAAACTACTGCTATTAGGAATCCATCTGCTCTGCGTTCTGTAGGCTGCTTCCGGTCGAGATGGTTCAGAGATGGTTCAGAGAGAAACCGCGTCTGAGTCGCGTCCAAGTCACGCGTTGTCTTACACAAGGGTATTATTAGAACTTCGCTTGTAAGTATTAATATACATTGAATGGTGACCATATCAATTACATCAATCCAGATGAACTCTTAAGTCCTCATCCGAAGCGACGCCTTCCTCCCTTTCATATTATGCTGCTTCCCATCCTCCGTTAGCGTCTCCCACCAAGCCGATTCAGTCCGAGTCCGTACACTTCCCCCATCCTCCTCTTCCACGTGTTTCCTTCCTTTCCCAGACATCCGAGTACTGACCACACCATTCTTCTCCTTGACCCTCGTGACCACACTCAGCCCGGAACTGATTCCTTTTCGACCGCCGACATTGTCAGATTCTGTCTTGCCCTTGCCAGGCCTGCCTTTCCCATCCTTTGCAAGTAAGTGATGGGATGCAGGAAGAGTACGATCCCAGGCATTCTTGTGTAGTCGAAAGAGTGCCATCGAGGCACGCGCATCAGTGATCTGTGGCGATACAATCAACACCAATTGGACATGATCGATCAGTGGTGCATACCGAGTCGTGTTCCCCCGCCTGAATATCCAGTCCTAACTCAAGCTGTATGAGCTTCCTCAATGCCGGCTGTTTCGTCTTCGCAAGCTTGCGCAGTTCCGCATATGTCTGTGTGTCACGAGTATGATGATGGGGATGTGAGAGTAGGAGAGCCTGTCGCATTATCAATGATACGTCTCGCATAATTTGGAAACGATTCACCTGCATATCGTGCGACAACGCATGTCCCACAACGATCCTGTCGTCCATGAGCTTCGCCACCTCAGCCTGGACCACCTTAAACTCCTCCGCTCCCTGCAAGTCTTTCGGTCGGATCCCGCTCCATCGCGTCCGATAATCTGTCACCCTCTCCATCTGGCGCACAAACTTGTCCAGCAACACCGCCCCGTGATAGTTCACGACGCTGACGCGTGCGAGGGAGGATTGGCTGCCGTTCGGTCCAACGCCGACCATCTCGCAGTCTAGAGCTACGTATTTTCCTTGTTCGGCTTCTTGGGATTTGGAGAGTGTTCCCAGCACGAGCGAACGCATCTCATCGGTGACTGTTTTGGGGCGCTTTGTCACAGGTTCTGTCACGGTATGCCTAAGTAGCAGTCAGACGTGATCGATCTTGTGAGCAAGTATCGAGGACGCACGCAGATGCCTTCGCTGTAGATCTCACTACCTCAGCGTATGTGTTGCCCCGTGGGAACCTATTCCTCCACTTTATCAGTCGGCGCCTCGCAAGTGAAAGCGCAGCCACGTACGATTCGATCTCCTCATTCTCGCCTGATGTAGCCGTCTTATTTGGCACATTCTGTATTGTATTTGACGTGCGCTCATGAAACCCTCCCCTTTTCCGCTTTATTCCTCTAGGCCCGTTATTTGCTCCAATGGACTGGAGCATGAAGTCAATGTGAGCACGAATTGTAAAACGGTATACTGCACCTTCTTCAGCGCTTCCCAATTTGACGAAACCGCTGGTTTATTAGGTTTGTCTGCTGAGAGGGACATAATCTACGAGAGATCTTTGTGATATAATGAATGGCGTCGGGTAAGATGCGAGAACGAAGAGTCTGCCAAAGAATAGTTTTGCCCATGTTCGAAATTTCACGCGCGCCCTGTTAGTTAACACCGAAATCGGAGATAGCGGTCCCTTGACTCAAGTTGTCTCATCTATCGCGCAAACACTCGGTTCTTGCTTTGTGGCCAAATACTGTGGTTCGCGTCTACGGCACCATGACCCGATACAAACTCGTCTTCTTTGTCCCTTCCACACACGTCACCCCGGTCAAGCGTGTTATCTTCTCTACTGGCGCCGGCACTATCGGACTGTACAAACACTGTGCCTTCCAAACCCCTGGACAAGGATCGTTTATGCCCGTGGATGGGGCCAACCCGGCTATTGGTGAAGTGGGCAAAGAGGAGACAGGAGAGGAGTTCAGAGTCGAGGTTCAGTGTGATGGAGAGCAGCAGACGAGGGAAGCGGTGTCAGAGATGAAGAAAGCTCATCCGTACGAGGAGGTCGCTTATGACGTATACCGAATGGAGGACTTTTAGCCGAACCTCCGAGGCTGACTTTCTTTTCCCCTTTTGAGTCTATTTTTTCCTCAGGTTAAAAGGTTTGTGAGCAGATTTTGTGTCTGCTAGTTCATCGCATTAGCGTTGCTTCTCTGTGCTCACTACTTGTTGCCTAGAGCGCGTACAAATTGCTTTATCTCGCATCTCGATAATCGGTTGAAGTAAACTCCGTCCTCATCAAACACAAGTGTCTGCATAGATCAGTTCTTATGCTGTATGCTTGCGCATCAAGCCGTGCTTGCAGCAGCGTCTCTGTGGGAAGATTCCCTTGCAACTTATTAAAGCCCGCAACACTATCGAAGATCAGCACGAAAGCACGTACATCTGTGCCTGTCGACGCGGCCAAGGCAGGAGCTTCTAAGAGCAGCCCAAACGCGCGTCCCGTTGTGGAATATGGGCCACCAGAATATCACGGAAGATGGGCCGGTCTCCACCCGCCGCACCAGCCTCGCGGCAATATCGGGGAGAAGAACGGGATACATTTACAAGATTGCAGAACTTTCCGAAACAACTTCGGTGACCGACTACACCCCCTCGTCATCCTCTACGTCAGCCCCCAACAATGCAGTTGCAGAGCGCTTGTCCAACGTGACGACTACTTCTTCTGAGGTGTGATTCCGAAGTCCTTCAGGAGATCGCGGATGGCCTTTCCCGTGGCCTTGTCGATATTTATCGCAAAGGGAACAGGGATAGGGGGAGGTTGCTGGACGTTGACTGGTTAGCCAATCGCCTTCGATAACGAGAGGTCAGACTTACGGGAACGTTAGCCTTGAAGCTGAAGAAAGGCACATTCAGCTCGACGTGATTCTTTTGCTCTTTCTGCTGCGGCATCGTGTGCGATGTGGTTGTGGTGCGTGTTCGATGTGGTTGTGGCTGGATGTTCGACTATCTGCCAGTGCTGCATCCCTCTTATACTGTTTAGACAATGGCTTGGTGCAGACTCGACTTGCTGCGGAGCCTGAAGTGTCGCCATACCATTCTGTCAATCAAGCGCCGCAGCCAAACAGATAACCGATTCATCAGATTAGCATCATATTTGGAGCTCGGGCTGATGGTCGGTGCTCTACGATAACGGCCGCAATCCAGCGAAGACTTGAAAAGCAAGTGAAAGCTTACATTCTGCGGCTGAAGTGCAAGGCTCCACTTTATACCTCGAATACCTGCAAGGCGCAACGTTCGATCTAGGCGACACCCGGCGGCTTTTCCCTCCTTATCGGCCATCCTCAACCCTGACCGTGCTTCTATTTTCCACCCTGTTGCTCAGTCGGCGTATCTGCTCTGTCGTCCGCACAAAAGGATCAAGCTTCATCTAGAAACTACCGCATCCTCCCACTTACCGCTGCGGCGGGTACGAGCGGAATGACGCAGTCGGTATCTTTTAGACGACGATGCACGCCGCAGTCGTTTCCATTACTCACCGCCACCAGTCAAACCCTCCGTATTTCCCCTTGCGGGTACTAGCAGTTGTATATATGTCGCCCAACGAACGTCGAATGTGGACAATACCAACCACCCAAACTCTAGATCTCATTAAGACATGGACCGATCCCAGCCCATCTCTCTACAGCACAAGCTTGCAGCTGTCGCTTCACTTGCGTATGCCAAGCTGATCTTGTTGGCATACTGGATCATTAGCAACCTCCTACCATCCTGGCGTCACAACCCGAAATGGACACTCCGCCGCGCTGTTGGTTTTCGCCTTTCTGGATGGGCAGTCTCAGAATTCAGTCCCAAGTTCCAAGACCTCTGTACTCGGGATATCAAAATCGAGCCGGGTGACGACGAGCTACGCAGGTGGAATGTCGGCTTCTCGAGGACCGGGCTAATGGATAGCCCCCTCACAGGTGAAATTGGAAGATTAGAAAAAGAGGCAGCAATAAAGCGCGTCAAGGTGGGAATGTATTGGCATGGGCCCGCAGACGAGCAGGGGCGGCACGACTACGGGGCTCAGGAAGGCGAGAGGGTCATGTTATTCCTGCACGGAGGAAAATATCTCGTGCGTAACCTGAGTGCGGCCTGGAGGATCTCTGCTCACAGCATAGAACAGGTCGGAACCGCGCACCCTTCAGATATGACCAGCTATATTCCTATGCAGCTATGCAACTTTTCTCGGACCGTGAAGCGAATTGTTGCCGTCGAGTACAGACTATCCTCCATGGCATCGAAACTATCAGTTCACCCATTCCCCACTGCGCTTATCGATGCGATATGTTCTTTCCGATACCTGCTTCAGCTCGGTTTTCACTCAAACAACATCTTCATCGTTGGCGACTCCGCAGGCGGCAACCTTGCTCTTGGCCTTACCCGATATCTTGTAGAGGAGGAACAGCGTTCTCTTGCTGGACTGATTCTTCTCTCGCCATGGTGCGATATGACAACCTCACACTCTCAACCGGGTATGTCACGACAGCGTAACTACGTCAAAGATGTGCTCGGTCCAGCAATCAATCCCGACTCTTACGCCGTTAAGGCGTTTTTGGGTGGGCTATCCCCAGAAAGCCCCTATATTTCGCCTTCCTGCAAATGGATTCAGCCTTCGTTTGGCGGCTTCCCTCGTACATATCTAGTAGCCGGCGAAATGGAGGTGTTCTTAGACGAGATCAAGACGTTGAAATCAAGAATGGAAGGCTTCGTCGAAAGAGGTCTGACGTACGACGAAACCCCGGCCGCCCCACATGACTTCTGCACAATCTCACTGATGGAGCCCGAACGAAGCCAACTTCTCGCACGAGTTGCCGAATGGGTTGACGACGCGGATCGACCCATTGCCGAGGAGTATCTCATTTATATATGATCCATAACGAACTGGAAGCGGCTGCATACAAGCGTTTTACACAGTACGCCGTGGACAACTTCGAAACCGCTCTGGAAGAGGTGGCACAACCCGTACTCCCCGTAGAAGAGTCACAGGCCAGCAATGATTGCAACAATAGACCAGATACCCCACTGAAAAGCGCACGGCTACGGCCGAATCGGAGCGCCCCAAGAAGAAAGCACGATGTGCTAATGAGGGAACCTTAGAATGTCCTGCTAGACACCGTCTTTATCATACACGAGACCATGCATTTTCAATTCAAGCACATTTAGAGCCCTGTATTATAGCGCCTGCCAATGATCAGCAGTCTTTGAAAGTGTTTTTACGCTAGAAGAGCTCCAGGACCTTCTCTAGACCCAGGTTGTCCAGTAGATGGGCCCACCTGGGCACTGCCGTGTCCAATCACAGAATTGATCACAGAAACCCCCTTGCCGCCGGCCAGCTTCAGATAAGCCTGCACCAGGCCGGAGCGAACCGGAAAGCACATATCCCCGCTATGGCGAATACAGCGACGAGTTGGATAGTTCGATCATTGTGAACAGGGTTGACAGGTAGCTCCGCACTTCATTACGTACTTGATTGATATTTTTACTAAACTGTTTATCCCCTAAGCGTTATCGACATCATTGACTGATTAACGTTAACTATATATACTGAAGCAAATATGAAGAAGCCAGCTGTTTCGGCGCCCAGAGTGGTGCCCAGCGCCGTCGCCCTTTCCGGGTCCCGTGACCTACAGAATTATTGCTGGTGGCAGTGCGGAACCCTGGAACCCTCAACGCGTGACTTTTCCAGGGCGCAAACACTTCAACTCTACATATTCGACAAGGCCAGCCCCGCCCATTATGACGGCACAATCGCACGCTTCAGGCTTCTTCTCTGGTTTATTTGGCTTTGTTTCTCGCACCTTTGGTGCCATTTCGAACGAAGGAACAAAAGCAGGAAGAAGGGATCGGCCCAAGTCGGCATATCTACCGGCATCTTCATCTCTGTGGATTCTTGGAAACCACGTAGTTGATGAGCCCGCACGCGGAGCCGCACCGACTACAACGACACCATCCTCAAGTGCTTCAAGCACTCGTCAGGCACTTCTATGTCCACCACCAAATAAACGGCCGTCCCAGAATTGCGATGAAGCCGAGTTGTCTCAACCAAAGGCAAGCCCTCTGCGGCCCTTAATCCTGGAGTCGGCTGGGGTCGCCCGTCGGAGGGAAGACAGTAGGAAGCTGGCTTCCAAGTCGAAGCGACACACTACCAGAGGTGCGTCCATAGTACCCGGATTTCTGTTGCAGTTATCTGAGCCAACTGCAGTACGTCGACCACCGCCGAAGATGCCCGGCTCCTTCCGCTCTCCGACTCCGGAGCCACTCCAACAGCCTCGTCAACCAACGAACCCGGAGTCGCCTATAAAACGGAGACGACTATCAAAGCAAGGCTTCTTCCTGCCAATAGAAGCCCATGTCGAGAGGTTGGTTCAGCCAAAACAATCGGGTAACACGGATATGCTGCTCGCAGTCGGCCGGAAGCCCCCAGCCATTCGTTATCCACGTGCTGCAGAGGCTCTCTCGATGCTGACACCAACGGAAGTGCTTGCTCAAATGTCTCACAGCGCTTCTGAAGCGGTGTTGCAAGACGAAATATCTATCGATGAGAGAATCCAGAAGCTGGAGCTTGAAATCGCGCTGTTGAAGTCACGTGTAAGCGGGCACATGTACGCTGTAGCACCTGACTTTGACACTTCACATTTAGTTGGCGAGGACCAACCAAGCTCCTCGCCGAAGCTTCAAGCGACCTGCCAGCGACCTGTATGCGTATTCAGGCCGCCCATCCCAGCCCATTGCAGCGTCTGCGGTAGTTGGCGTGCCTGACTACCGAGTCACCCCGAAGACTACACAGTCCTATTCACTGAACAGAACGCCTGCAGTGCCACCCATGAGAGCCAATGCCTTCCTCATCGAAGCACGCTCACGCTTGAAGGTACGTGTGTTTGGGTCCTAAAGTGAACTCCTGACCAATCCTTCATCAGCAAACCCCACCCAAGACCACGAGCACACGGAACGACAGTCATTCCTCGATTACTGTACCACGAGACATGAGCAAGTTATTCGAGGAGCTCAAACATGTGCGACTGCGCAAAATTGATACTTCCGTTCGCCCGTTATCCCCGTGTCCGGCATCCACGCGTGCAACTTCTGTTGCTGAAGCCTCAACCCCCGCGTTGTCGATCGATGATTCGAGTGTTTCAATTGGACCGGCGCGTCCAGAAACACCTCTCCCAGAGGATGTTGTTGTACGACATGCCCACATGCTGGCTTTTGCAGATGTTGCGAGTCAAGCTCTCGCCATCAAAGCCAGACGTGTCCAGAAGCCTCCATTCTGCACGTGGGGAGCTGGCATGTATTAATGTTTTTGATTGTTCTCATTTCTTGACACTAATTTCCTTGTCCTCCCCATGTTGTACCTCTACGTCATCTGAGAGTCTGGCATACCCATCTACATACAACTTTGCTTTTGTACCCTATTTGTAGCTGTCCTTACCGTTATACAAATTCGACGAAACTGCAACCCATATTGTGCCGATTCCGAGAGATCATTAGTGTGGTTCTTTTGGTTTTTTGTTTGTTGGGTTTTCGATAAACGGTTTATCCCGTCATCCACACTATTAACTATATATATTATTCATATCTTAACTTTTATATTTACTGAGGTGGGTGTTTCGGCTCCGAGAGGGCGCCTAGGGTCCAGGACCAACGGAATCAAATATTGCTGCACGGCGGCAGTGCGGAAGAACCCTTGACGCGTGACTTTTCGGTCCCCTTTGTGGCGCGGGTTATGCCGGCGCAAAGCTACGCCGGCGCGAAAACCTACGAGCTACGACAACGACGACGCGCAAAGCTACGACGACGACGGCAGGTAGAAGCTACGACGGCCATTGGGCCTTTATAATTCAGGCGCTCGACCCCTCTTCCAACACATCAACTCTGCATTTGACAACCAGCCCCCCAAGCAGCCTCCTACCAGCCCCCACTAGCCTGCCCATTATGACCGCACAATCCTACGCTGGCTTCTTATTTGGCGTGATTACCAGCACGTTTGGTGCGAATCCGGAGCCAACTGTAACCGCTAGGGAGGAAAGAAGAAGGATAGCGGCTTCCAAGCCGAAGCCAAAGAGTACTAGAGGTGCGCGCGTAATACCCGGATTTCTTTGTCAGTTATCTGACCCTCCTCCAGTGCGTCGTCGGCAGTGGCCGACGATGCCCGGCTCCTCCCGCGCTCTGACTCCGGAACCGCTCCCAGAGCCTGCTCAACCCACAGTGCTGGAGCCACCGATGAAGCGGCGGCGACTCTCCAAGGAAGGCTTGTTGGCGATCGACGAGGTGATTGAGAAGCTGGAGCAGGAGATTGCGGTCCTGAAAACACATGTAAGTACGCGCTTGTGTGCTGTAGCACCTTCCTTTGACACTTCACGTCTAGTTGGCGAGGACCAACCAGGCTCCTCGCCCAGGTTTCAAGCTACCTGAGCGTGTATCCGAGAAAACGAGGACGCAGAATGATAGTCGTTCTTTGATTGCCCCTCGACGAGACATGAGCCACGTATTCGATGAGCTCAAGCATGTACGCTTACGTAGAATTGATACATCCGTTATTCCCACACAACCTCGGCGAATCATTCGGACTAGCCCTACGCAGCTCTTCTCGCAAGAGCTTGAGGAGGCTGTTAAGAAGTCCTCGCACCGTAGACATAATGAAGATCCCATACCTTCCTTCTGCGCATGGGGAGCTGGCTTGCGTTAATTCTTCTGATTGTTCTTATTCTTTGACACCACTAATTTCGCCGTCCTCCCCGTGTTATACCTTTGAATGATTTTGATTCTTCTCGTTCCTTGACTCTGATTTCGTCGTCCTGCCCGCATTGTACCTCTTGTTGATGATTTTGATTCTTGTCGCTCGTTGACTCTGATTTCCTTGTTCTCCCACGTTGCACCGCTTTTTAATGATTTTGATTCGTCTCATTCCTTGATACTAACTCCCCCCCCCCCGGGCGTACCTCTTCGTCATCTTAGAGTGGGCATATGCGGCCTACCCTAGATCCACTTTCGTGTTCCGGCATCATTGAGATTCCCCATGCTCTCAACTATATATGTACAAGTTTGCTTTTGTATCGCATTTGTAGCTGTCCTTATCGTTCCAAAATCCATGAAATAACCCATATTGTGCCCATACTCTAGATCTGAGAAGATGTTACATCACGG